AAAAATCTACTTAAATACAGTCAGTCACACTATGCCCAATAGCAGTTGTGCTTTTTTTTACAGTCATAGCTCCCTGGAGTGAAATAGTGCATGAATGTAAAGCATGTAAAAATCAAAGCATCAGCTGGTCAAGGATACTCCAGGCAAAAAAATCATGTCAAGGCTTGATGTTTCAGTAAGAGCTGTATGCTAGACTGAAGATGGCCCATGCATACAGATGCAAACCTTAAAATACACAACCAAGAAGTGGCCTTGAAGGACATGCAGATGCTTGAAAACTGCTGCTGAGAAAAGGTAACCAAACTAAAAACTTGAAATGGCAACAGACTATAAACAGTGAAATGAATAAAGCAATTGGATATTTTTAAGCAAATTTTACAATTGCTTCAGTATTTTTAGCATTTTAAAATAATTTAAGAAAGAAGTTATAACGATTTTCTGAGTTTTTAAGTGAACACATACATGAAGAAATGGCGTAAGTAAAAGATGCCTGTGTTACTAAATAAGGTAAAGAGATAAGAAATTACAGCTAGCTGGTTAAGTGGTATTGAGAATCATGAGTAAAGAGTTATAAAAAATGAAGCTATAACAGAGATCTTGAGAAAAATGCTAGCCATAAGTTTGACAGTGATATGTTACTGATGCCGAGTTAGTAGTACAGTAAATGTTACTAAAAAGTTTATGATAACATCTCAAATCAGCACTCTGATGCAAGATCTGTTACTTCATACCAGTGTAATAGCACAAATAAAAAGGCAACTGGAACACTCACCATCACTATAACTTGAGAGTTTTCGTTCTTGTTTTGGAATAGCCCGAGAAGTTGCACAGAATACTATTTGGAAGGTCGAAAGAATACAAAGAAAATATGGTTTAAAAACTAATGTCTGGAACTTGTTTGTTTGTAATTAAGCACAAAGCTACACAATGGGCTATCTTTGCTCTGCCCACCATGGGTATTGAAACCGGGATTCTATCGTTGTAAGTCCACAGACATACCGCTATGCCATTAGGGGGCATGTCTGGAGCTAAAAATCAGTTTTCTCCAGGAAAAATTGAGATTCTCCCCAGAGTCACTGATAAGCCAGAAGCTGTGAAGGTTTCTCGACTGCAAAAATTTACCACATCAACTATGTTGTAAGTGATGAAACTATTTCTCTCTTAATTAATTAATTTGGATTGGATAGACTATAAAGAAACATAAGCTAAGAAACTTGGTGTTATGTATGAATTATAAGTATTAGTGTTGTTAACCTAAACATATTTTCTTTTATGAAGAGTTAAGAAATGATTAAAGAAGTGTATTTTATGTTAAGAAACTTAAATAAATTTGATAAATTGTTTTTAACATCAGTTTCAGGAGCAGTTTCTTTAGTCCAACCGTAAATCTCCTCGAGTTAGCAACTTGTGAGCTCCACTCACCACTGCAATCTTCAAGTAAATAAATTTGGTGTAAACGACAGTATAGTCGAAACTCTAACGACTAGCCCAAAGAGCGCTGTCTATTACATGAGCAAAGATGGAGGTATACGGTCTTTAAAGATTAATCCAAATTTAAATTGTTTGTGAACAATCACAGGCAACATTTTCTATGGCAGAGAGAAGAAAAGTATCACAGTCAACATACATCTAACAATGAAGTAGAGCTTCGTGATTTAACCAATTACCTATGAACAGCAATAACATCACCAAGTACCTTGTATACTAATCAATTAATGGAAATTACAATTGACGTAAGGAAAATAATCACTACTTAAAACTGGTTGTTCCAATTATTCTAACAATTAATTAATTAATATCACAATTAAATTGATTGTCAGGAAAATAATCTACTAATTAAAATTAGGGTTTTCAATTAATCCAACTATTCAAGTAATCAAAATATTACCATTATGTTTGTTGTTAAGCATAAAAAATATCACAATTGGCTCTCGGGTTCAATTTCCCTTGCCATTAAACATTTTTGCCCTGTCTTTGTTATTGCAAAGCTGCTATCTGCCACTGTCATTAAGTTTGAACTCCGCTGATCAGAGGAAATGCAAATGGCTTGCAGCACCCACTGTCAACTCTCTGGCTATTTATGTGTTAAATAAAATTTAATTTATGTTCATTTCTTTAATTCTGTAACTGTATTCTTTAATGTTGTTTAACTCTTTCATGACAGGTCACAGGTGAAAGGCCATGTCATCTCGTTTCTTGACTCGCATTAAAAATTTTATTGAACTACTATTTCATGAATTTATATCAATAAGTTTGTTATCAAACTGTAGATTATAATAAAAATTTTGGAACAATACATTACCCAATTTCTTAATTTAAAACAAATATTTAAAAATGCAGATAAATATTGATTTTTGTGTGTCACATGGTATGTTGAATGCAGCAATGGTTCAAAATCAGATGTTTGTGAAGTCTAAATACTTAGTCTACGGTTTCATACAAATTAGAAACTCAAATTACAGATATTGACAAGCTAGAATA